GATAACCAAAATTATCCTAAACATATTTTTTAAAATTATAAAGCAACTTTTTTGCCTTTATTTACTGGGAATTCTGTCTCATGGCCTCTATTCACTTTTATATAACAGCCTGGTGAGACATTTTTAATTATGGTACTTAAGACTCTCCAGCCCCGTGAAATAGCCCATTAACTTAATTCAAAATTAAAGCCCCTCCCCCAGCTACCTGCCAGCCACCTGAGGGCAATTTGCTTCCTCCTCCACTTCGTTCATCCCTGACTCCACGGGGTTACCGCAGGGGAACAGCATGGAGAGAAGGGAACAGGACTACTCTTAATCCACTGACACTAATGTATGTTGGTTTCGTGCTTTCTGGGCCCTGTAGATGGTTCAAAGTGACTTTTTCTCATGTGGGCACTTTCGTGGGTTTCTTGAGGGATGTTCCACTACCAGGGGCCTTTTACCTACAACTCCCTTGACCTGGGTGGATGCCTTAAAGGTAACTTCCCCCTTCTTCCGCCCTAGGGAATGTGGTGGACCTCTCCAGTTTCTGTCTGGTAGGTTCCATCAACCCTCTGGGCAGCCCCACCTAATAGCACATCATAGGACTCCAGATGGACCCTGCATTAATTTCCTAGGCTGCTTAACAAATTCCCACAATCAGGGTGGCTTACAACAGAAATTTATTCTGTCACAGTTCTGGGGGTTAGCTGCTCCCTCTGAAGGCTCTCGGGAAGAATCCTTGGCCCCCTCTTCCCGGCAATCTTCAGCATGTAGCTGCCTCACTGCAATCTCTGCGTCCATCAGCATATGGCCTCCCCTTTGGCTTGTATCTCTCTACTAAACATAATTTTGATATAATTAGCAGTGGAATGATTGGGTGCCCACAAGACCACCCCCACAACCAGGGATTTTTCCAGAAGATTTAATTGGACTCCACATATAGTTGTACGCACAGCTAAGACTTAGTGCAGTGATGTACCAAGGATAAACAGCTGGTTCACAAAGGAAAGGACAGGTGAAGTCTGGGGGAACAAATGTGCAGGTTTCCACTGCTCTCCCTCCTTTGTGGTGGTCACACACACAGCCCTGGGGACCAGGCAAGCAGGCACTTCTGCCCAGCATGTACCAAAGTCCAGACTCCCAGAAGGAAAGCAGGGGCTCAGTGTACAGCACATTTTTTCTGGACAGTCTAGGCACTGAGTCATCATTTAGCCTACAGACAACACTCAAAGCCTAGTTCCCAGATGCCAGTCAAGGGCCAATTTTGCAAACAGGACCTTGTAACGTGCAGCCTCAGGCCTGCTGTGTTCACCCTTTAAGTTTCATACCTCTTCAAACATGAACACAGATAGCCATATTCACAGCACCTGGTCCATTTCCTGCTCCCCACTGGTTTTCAGGAACCTGTCATCACTCCTCAGTGTTCATGACATATCTTGCCACGATTCCATCCTGTGGATTTGAATCCCTTTTGTGCCGCTCCAGGCTTAGCTTAAAGGCCAGGGACTTGGTAAGAGAACAACAAAAAAATGCTGCTGCATTTTCCCCCTGTAAACATCCTAACATAAACGTGAACTTACTGACACACACACACACACACACACACACACACACACACACACACACACGAGTCCACGCAGTCCAGCTGGCTTCTCCCAGGGGCCACTCTACCTCGGTGCCTTTCTAAATATACTTTTGCTTGTATTTGAGTTCCTTGGTTCTGAATTATTTTAAATTTATTTTTCACTGACTGGTTTTAGAAGGGGAGCGAGAGAACACGGATCTGTTGTTCCACCTATTTACGAATTTACTCCTTGACTCTTGCGTGGGTCCTGGCCGGGGATCGACCCCGGCACCTCTGGGTGCGCGTGGGCTCCTGCCAGCTGGCCCACGCGGCCAGGCGCTGGCAGCCGTCCTAGGGTACAAGGGAGTGGGTGCCCCCTCGACAAACAGGGGCGCCCAAGGCCGGCTTCGCACCAGCCCGTCCCGTCCCGGCGTGCAGGCTATTAGGGGAGGACCGCGGGGCAGCAGCGGCGCCCCGGCAGGAGGCGAGGCCGCGGGAGGGGCGTCTCGCAGGCGGGGGAGGCCCAGGTCGCCCCACCGCCCGGGGTAAATCGCAGCCAGAGTCGCCGCCGCCCGGAGGCCGGAAGCCGGAGGGCGGAGGCTCCTATTGGCCCGAGACCAAGAGGCTCCCATTGGTCCAGGCCTCAACAAACGGAGACCCCATTGGTCGGGCGCGGCAACGCGCCGCACGGCCTTCTGGGAGTTGTAGTCGCAGCGTCGCCGGCGCGGCCGCCATTGTCCGGGGGGCTGCGAGTCGAGCGGTGCCTGAGAAGGGGGCGGCTCTCTGGTTTACGGTCGTCCGGGGCTCAGGTCCTCCGCCTGCCGGCCCAGAATGGACCCCGAGGAGGAAGGGGCGGCGTTGGCGATGGCTACGGCTCCGCCGCCGAAACAGCTTCAGGTAACAGCAGTAACAATAAGAACGGTGGCATCGGGCCGGGCGCTGCGCCTCCCGCAGGCTCCGACCCCTCAGCCCTCGTGGCGCGCGGCGAGCAGGGCCCGGGCGTCCTCCCCGTTCCACGGGGGGAAACTGAGGGACCGGGCGGCGGG